CAAATTTCACTGTGGTATTCTTTTTTTGAAAGAATACCACTACACAACACTATTTTAAAAGCTCATAAAACATTTCAATTAGCACCAGTGACTGGAATGGGGCCTTAGACACACGAATGGACATTTAGGAGTATGTGAATTGGGGGAAAAACATCCTGGCATGACTGTATCTCCTCTCATACTTTATGTCTTTGGAGAAGTGTTGACATGGAGAAGTGTTGAAGTATTACAAAGTAGGACATATGACCCAAATCATCTTCATACAGGGGAATCTTAGACTTTACTTTTGTCCATGGTTCTGTATAATGGAAGAGATTTGTGCACGTGAAAGTAAATTTATTATAAATAAGCTATATCTATATATATACAATGAAAAAATCTCTGAATTAAGTAGCAGAACAAGGACTGACAGAAAAAATCAGTATTGTACATTTAAGCCTAGACTTAAGGCAAATGACACTGCAAATTTCATTCACGATGGCTTAACTTGTTCACACTTGTCAATACACTTTCCACACAAATACATTGATGCATATGGAGATTTAAGGCATGTGTTGCATGAATTTAACAATACAGACCAAACAAGAACACATAGAACACATCTTCTAGCAGATGAATTGCATAATTAGCAGGAAAATACATAAAATTGCTCTATGAATTGAAATGAGCAAGTCATGGAAGTTTTTTGAGGTTTCTTTTTTCCGTGGGGGCAACAACAGTGCACATTCTGTACATTTCACAGTTTGTGTTTAGTATCAAAGAGAGATGCATTAACAGCAAACTGGGAGTTGTGTTCAAATCAAAAAGGTGTGCAGAGTGGACAGATTTAGAAAGATGGAGGACCCTAACTGTAGGACATGCAATAACACCAATGATACCTGTACACCTTCCTCCATCCTATTTTCCTAAAGAGAAGGAAAACCAGAATTTAAAAACTCACTATATAGTATTCCTTTAACTTATGCCAATACTACACCTAGGCTTTTCAGTGACCTTGCCTTTCATAGTGGGAGGGAAGCAAACAGTGGTTTAGAAGTGAAAAAGGGAGAACAAAAGCGCCCTGTGCCCTGCTGTAGCTGCAAATGTTTAAAATGCATGTACCTGCCTCAGATGGAAACTGGGGGATGCCCAGAAGGGATGTCACAGCCATGACCTGAAGGAACACTTCAGGGTGCAATAGAAGCCAAGTCTTGGCAAATCCAAAACTTTTGTGGCTTTTTTGTTTCACAAACAGGTCCCTGGTAAAAGACACTGGAACTAGAAGGGCTGCATGTCAGTGCCCTGTGCCAGCTCAGTGTCATTCCATCAGGAAATGCAATTTTCCAGACCAATTGTTATGCACAATTTCAGTGTCATAGTCATTAGAAAGACTCCCTGTTAATCTCAAGCTCTCTCATGGTCCTCACTGGGCCCTCAATAAGAAGCATAACCCAGAACAATACAGGTAAGAAATTATAGGTATCAAACTTGACTTTAAAGTTCTTGCAAGAAAACATACTCACATCTAGATTCTGTATTCCTTAGCTCAGCTTCAGGGAGCTTTGTGCCTGATTTACTCACAATGACAAACCTTGCCCCTCCACCACTTTCCAGCAAGATTACCTGTTTTATAACTCAGCCAGGGAGTCAAATAATGCCCCCTGTAAGTCAGATTCTCTTGTGTCAGTCAGTTCTTGTGTGAGTACCATGAACTCACACAAGTCCCTATGCTACCTGCCAGTCACACATGCTTCACACCTGCTGTCAAAGTACACTGAAAGCTTGCTTTGTTTGATTAGAAAATCCACAACCATTCTTACCAAGTGAGAGAATCTCGCTTTATAATTAGTGTCATCCACACTATGCTCTAATAGTTATGATTACCAGCTTAATGACAGAGTGATGCTACATATACCAAGGTCATTTAGGCACAGGTAAGAGAGTTTGGTACAGATGTGGTACAGATGCTGGGCACAAAAAAAGATAGCAGAATTTGAAAACGGACAAATAAAAAGGAAAAGAAAAGAGATATGAAAATTATAAATGGCAGACTGGCATAGCCAAAGAAGGTGGAGCAGGGGGAAAAACAGGAACAAATTTCACTGGGAAAAAAATCCCCAAGATATTCTATTTAAATTAACTTTTTATTATAAGTATCTTAAAATACGTAAAAATGTGTTTAATATGCCTGAGAAATTCTGTGTCTTCAAGTAGAAGTTCTGCAAGCCTTTAACAGCTTGGTAGTCCAGTCACTGCACATACAGGAGCAAGCAGTGTAAGCTTTGGCCAGTTGTGCATGTGACAACACAGAACTGGGATTTTGACTTAAACAAATGTTTAACAGCCTTAAAGGCATTTGACAGCTACACCACAAACCTTCTGAGAGCACAGTTATCTATTTCACCTTCTGTTCACTTTGTGGAAGACAGTTAAGAAAAAGTACAGCCAGATTTCTGCAGAAAGAGTCTGTTAAACAATAAAGTTTTTTATGTACCATGTACCAGCTGCTTTGGCTCATCCTGTAAGATAAATCTTTCAATACCAATCTTCTGTCATGAGGCATTTTAACCCCAGAGTGGAAACCTGAAGAAAGAAGTATGTTAAAACACTTGACAGAAGAAAGTACAAAACCTTCAGGGTTTCTCTGGCTAATAGAAAGGGAACAGTTTAGGAACACAGGCAAAATAAAAGGCTGTATACTCCAACTGAGAGTGTATTTCTCAAACATTGAATAATTCTGCCTCCCTCCTGATTTCAAATACAGACATTCTTCAGAGTGGATAAGAACTGCAGTGCACCTGTTTCACTTGAGCCCATTAGAACTCAGTAATTTTCCCCTGGGAATGATCTTCCCTACCCCACCACAAGGCTGAGCAATAGAAGATGCAGAGGAATAAGGTGCTGTAAAATGAACTCACCAGGCAAATCAAACAGAACTTTGATTTCACTCTCCTTGATGTCCAAGCTGGGACACATCTTGTTCTCCTGTAGCTCTGAGAGGGAGGCACAACTGAGGGAAGAAACAAAGCTTGAGTTGTCTAAGTGTAAAAATATATACAGCATGCTTTAAAGGAATTATGGCATTTCATCTTGATATGCTGTATTGTTTCACCTAATAATAAAAAGCAAATTATTCCACCCCTAGGCTCAGTCTTGTCCAGATGCTGGTATATTACATGTACCAATAATGCAAATTCCTCCATCCCACATCTACTCTTGCCAGCCCTTCCCACTAATTTTCTTTTCTCCTTAATAAAGATGAAATCTCTTAAGCAAGAACAGCTTGCTTAAGATCCTGAGATCTCCCGTTCTGGACTTTCTTTTAAAAGGGCTTTTACAGGCAAAGAATAAGGCACATTATCAACCCCATTCCCAGCTCAGTTTGCACATTTCATTATGTTTGCTGTTTCCCTCTAAAAATGAGAAATTTCACTACAGGAAGAACATCTAAGTATAATTTTGCAAAAGCCCCTTTGCCAGTAGAGCTACCAGTTCCTCTAAACAGGGACTGAGGAGAGAGAGGAAGGAAATAAAATTTCCTTTTTGATAGTTTTCTCCTGAAGGTCACCAAGATTTGGATCTAGCAGGTTCTTTCAAGATGGAAGAATTAAACCTCATGCAAAAACCTTTTTTTTTTTCAGATGATATGAAAAATTAAATCCTGGCCATACCCTAGTAAAGTCATTACCTTTTTTTTTTTTTTCATTCTGCTGGGTTTGGCTTTTTGAACAGCCTTTTTTGTTAGGAAAGGGACAAGAATAAACCATCTTAAAACCAAATCCTCTCCTATATACTAGACCTGTACACTTCTACTTTTATTGAAAGGACTTTTTTTCCCCCAGTAAATCATCTAGTTTTCTACTTGCTGGCTCCCCTATCCATATTTGAACAAGTCTTACAGGCTGTCAGGGCCCTAGAGCTCTGCTACAAATGGATTAAATTAATTTTTCAAATATAAAAGTTTACTTTTACTTCCACCTCAGGAAACACTTGTACAACAATACAAGTACCTTAACCAAAACCTGCCTTCCATCCCTTTTAAAGCAGGTTATTTCCTTGTAGTGTTAGTAGAATGACAGGGAAGGAAAGAGGCAAGAGGCACCTGCAAACATTACCTTAGGAGATATAAAATCAGGCAGCTGAAGTTTTAGTGGGAAAAACAATTCAAGTGCAAAGTAAAATTAGGACACATTCAAAGTGAAAACATTACTCATAGAAAAATAAACACCAAGGAAGGAAAATTCTGCCTTCCAGTGCAAGAGCCAGCAAATTTACAAGTTTCTTAGCCAATGGCCAGCTCTGACACTAAACTGCTGTGTGAGGGCTTGTGAATCCTAGACCTTAAGCAGCCAAAAGGCAGCTGGCTTTGGCCAGTGGGTCCCCTGGGAGTCAGTGACGAGTTCTACAAGCACAGGGGATGGCAGAAGAGCTTTCACTAAGGGTCAGTCACACAGCAGGACTCTGAGCCTTGAGCGCTGGCATTTGCAGCAGGACCTCCGACCTAAAGGCTGGTGTAGTCTCCCTGCTGAGTTACTCAGTTTCCAAAACTGCACCTTCAAACCAGAGCCACGGACAGACAGACAGACACTTGACTGCCGTGCTGCCTGCGACACCGTGCTATTAACAGATGATGCTGTGTTATTAGCAACACCCAAACACGAGAGCAATGCTCAGCACATCGCCGGCATTAAAGACGGGGAAAATGGGAGAACCACAGAACTGTCACGGTTGGAAGGCACCTGTGGAGATGATCCAGTCCCACCCTTGTTGTCCAGTATCACCTGGCGCAGGGGTCCAGGTGAGCCGTGACCTCCCAGGGCAGCCTGTGCCAGGCCCTGCCGCCCGCAGTGTGGATCAGCTTTTCCTCACGTCGAGGTGGAACTCCCTGTGTTTTAGTTTATGGCCATTGCTCCTCGCCCTGTTGCTGGGAAACACCGAAAAGAGTCTGGCACCATGCCCTTGAAGACATTTATAGGAATTGAGGAGATCCCCTGTCAGGTCTCTTCCCCAGCTCCTGCAGTCTCTCCTCACAGGAGATGCTCCAGACCCCAAACCACCTTTGTGCCTCCCCAGCAGATCTTTGTCTTTCTTGTACCGAAGGAGCCCAGAACCGGCCATATTCACCTCAGGAGGGACTGAAAAACTACTTTCATTTCAAGAAAAAGCGAAAAAGAGAATCTGGCGTGCGAGAAGCCTCTGGATCAGGGCCGAAATCGCTTGATTACATTAACAGTAAGGTGCGTACTAACACTTTTACAACAGTGTGACTCTGAGTTCTGCGAGGCCCCATCCCCATCCCCTGTTCCCGCCCCGCTCCCTCAGCACCGCCCGTTCCCGGGGCGGCTCCCGGCGCCGTTCCCGCCCCGCTCTTTACGGCAGCGGCCGCGGCTTGCGGCGGCCCGGCCTGGTGCGGACATGGTGAGTGAGTGCGGGGCTGTTCGTGCCCGGCCGGGTGCGGACATGGTGAGTGCGGGGCTGTCCGTGCCCGGCCCGGTGCGGACATGGTGAGTGCGGGGCTGTTGGTGCCCGGCCCGGTGGGACACGGTGAGTGCGGGGCTGTTGGTGCCCGGCCCGGTGGGACACGGTGAGTGCGGGGCTGTCCGTGCCCGGCCCGGTGAGACACGGTGAGTGCGGGGCTGTTGGTGCCGGCCCGGTGCGGACATGGTGAGTGCGGGGCTGTTGGTGCCGGCCCGGTGCGGACATGGTGAGTGCCCGGCTGTTGGTGCCCGGCCCGGCGGCTCCCGGGCCCCGCGGGCTCGGCTCGGCCTTGGCGGAGCGAGGGCCCCGCAGAGCCGCTGGCTCCGCTCTCGGCCCCGCAGCCCCGCGGTGAGGGCGGCGGGCCGGGCCGGGATCCCCTCGTCCCGCACAGCTCGGGGGTCCCGGCCCCGCTGCCCTCGCCGTGCCCCCAGCCCGCTGTGTGCCGAGCCAGGCTGCCCTCGTCCTGCGCCGAACCGACCCTGTGTGTGTTCGTTCCTTGCAGGCCAGCACCATGGTGGCGGTCGGCCTGGCCATAGCGGCAGCCGGATTCGCAGGTGTGTGGGGGCCGGGCGGACACCGAGCACGGGGCACTGAGCCGTGCTTCAGGGCTGCTTCAAGGTAGTTTATCGGCTGGTACAGCTCTTTGGGGAGAGCCTCTGTTAGTGGCTGTAATGAAACAGAAGATCAAAGTTCTTAGTATTTTATGTCCCAAAAAAGTTTATTCCACGCTCTAATCCACTACTATTTCATGTCCCAAAAAAGTTTATTCCATGCTGTAATCCACAAGTTTCCAGTTGCACTGAATTGGTAAATGTTTGTTCAAGGAACTATATTTAACCTCAGTCAACGCTGGTCTCTTTAAGGTCGCTATGCAGTAAAAGCTTTGAAGCAAATGGAGCCACAGGTAAAGCAAGCCCTTCAAAACCTACCAAAACCTGTGAGTTTTTAATTATTATCTTTTTATTTAGAACTTTACGTGCTGAAATAACTACAGACTGTTGTCTCTGTATAGCATTGTTGTATTTTCTCCTGTATTTTGTCAGTAACAACAATTAATTGCAGCAATTCATATGGTGATGGGACTTGTTAGAGAACTTATTTGGGCAGGTTTAAGAAATTATTTAAATAATGATGCTCTACTTCAACTGTATTTCCTAATATAAGTCAGAAGTTTTGCCATTTTACAGACCAAAAGCTCAGCAGCTACTTAAGCAATAATGAGTTGTTTTAACTGATACTTAGAAGTTAGTCTGTTTCAAACTAATAAGTTTTCTTTTTCAGGCCTTCAGTGGTGGTTATTACAGAGGTGGATTTGAACCCAAAATGACTAAACGAGAAGCAGCTTTAATACTAGGAGTGAGGTAAAGGAAATTGATCAGAAATGAAGAGTGAGCAGCAGGCAGTGGTGTCTCCTCCCAGCTGGCCTTGTTTGGAAGGGTTGTCATCCAGTGCCCAGCATCCCCTGGGAGTGTCACTGCCAAGTCAAGAAATAGGAAGTGGCTGTTCAGGACTTTCTGTGCTTTTTGGGGCTTCTTTGCTGCACTTTAGCTTGTGTGGATTCTGTGTGGACTTCCAGACATCTGCACATTCCAAAGCCACACGTGGTCCAAATGAGCCATTTCAGGGAGCCTTGGGGTTCACTTGGTATGAGGAACAGGATTCTGCTGTTAGCTTGTGGTTCCTGTGAGCACTGAGGAGTTCCAGGTGGCTGCAGTGTGAGGGTGCTGCAAACCCACTTCTTGGATGTGGAATAAATTCATCACTTCTGGAATGTTGTAGATCTGACTTTGGTGGACATCCCTGCCAAAGCACTTAAGACCAAATAATAGAAATCTATCAAATAAGAACATTCAGTTGTGAATTTTTTGGGGGTTCTGGAGGTTTTTCTTTTTTTACCTTAATCAAGGAAATTTTTTTGTCTTACAGCCTTTATGAAGTTTTCTCCAAAAAATGTTACAATGTAATTCTGTTTCTTTTTAATGGTATGGGTGACCTCCATCCCATTAGACTGCTGAAGCATGTCTTTGTCAGCATACAGTGTTTTGGAAAGGCCTAGAAAGCCTCTCCAGGATTTAGACACTACATATCAGTGGTAGGAAAAGAGAAACATACATGTTAGCTAGAGAATTTATGGGTAAGACAGAGTGCTCACTTGTTCTCAGACACCTTTTGATGATCTGGGGAATTTAATGAGGATCCCTTAAGTCAGTTTTTCTCTCTCTTTCAAAGCCCTACAGCCAACAGAAATAAAATTAGAGAAGCTCATAGACGGATTATGCTTCTGAATCATCCAGATAAAGGTAAGGAAATTAAGTCCTGTTGATTAGTTAATACATGTTTTTAACAAAGATCAATAGAATTGAGGAGGCAGTCAGTGATACATAACCACCTCAACTACTAAAAGACCCACAGAAAACCGAAAACAAATCTTAGGGTGTCTTAACCTGCGTGGGTCTAGACCATATTTTTAGTGTGGATATTTTAAAAGCAAGCAGACAGATTGAGCAGGTCAGTTTGTTAGCTGCTCTGTCTTCTGTGAATACCAGGATAGAATATTGTTTGTTAAAATGAGACTTAAAATTGCCTTAATTTTAGATGAAAACCTGGAGTACCCTTGTGTGTTTCATATCCCACTTGAAAGTTTGAGTCCATGGGAATGCCTCAGTAGTTCCCCATAAATGGCAAATACTGAGACTTCCACAGCTGCTGGAGACATTAAATTGTGAAATATTCCTGTTAGTGGTACTCTGAAGGCTCAGAATCTAGTTATGCTCCAAATTAATAACTCAGGGCACCTGAACCTATTCTAAATTCTGTTCAGTGAGTCAGAATCATGTGTTGGTGTTTTGACATTTAACTCCTTAATCATTGCTTAAAAGGTAAAATGGCTTCCTTTAAAGTGACTGTTGAATTCCTTACTTCTATGGACCAAAATCCAAAATAATCCATGGGGATATGCCTTTCATAGGTAATATCAAATGAAAGTTACCTACAAAATTAACCTTACTGAACACGTGCATGAGCTAAAAATAGCATTTTGTTTTGTACATGACCTAAACATGTTAAATTAATCTTCAAGTAAAACATTATAGTGAAATTAATGGTATATATGCTACCAGCACAATCATTGTACCTTATGGCTTTACAGTGCTGGTGCATTTCATGTGGATTCTGTGTCCCTGAGTCATTTTTTGCCTTGTTTGAAAACTGAACTGGTCCCGTGGCACAGCAGCACTTTATGCTGGGCAGGGTTATCTGCAGACCTGTTAGTTCTGTGCCTCTGTATTCACCAAGACTGTGCTAAGTCAGTGGTGACCAATTCATTTATGACTGATAAAACTGGAGGGAAAAAACACTCCAGGAAAATACAAGCAGCCTAACAGGAAGGAGTTGTGTGACACCAAGCTCCTGCAGTGACTGAGTGAACTCAGGTGCCTTCAGTCATGTCCAGTTTATTCTTCAACTGGCAGAACCTCAGACCACACTCTTTTCTTCCTGTGTCCTGTGGCATTATTATCAACACAGGAGACAAATGTTGGGTTTTTTTCATCTGAGATTCTCTTTCTTCTAGGTGGATCTCCGTATGTAGCAGCCAAAATTAATGAAGCTAAGGATCTACTAGAAGACCAAGCTAAAAAATGAATGAGAAAGTGACTCATTGGTTTGTCCCTGCAAATTATTATTTTTGATAAATGGCTTAAGAAAAGTTCTAATGTCAGTCTTTGACTTAATATAAATGAAGCTGGAAATACAAATCCAGGGAGGTACTTCCCTTCCCACTTGGTCACATTATTTTGGAAATACATGAGGGAGTGAAGCTTAAAAGATTTTTTTTCACAGCTGTTCTTTATTAGCAGGATCTGCCACTCAGAAATATTTTCAGTGCTTGAGAGCACGAACTTGGTGTGGCCAATGCATGTTACCAGGCACAGGTAGACTCACATGCTGTTACCTAATTTCTGTTGAACTGGCCCTCTTTAAAGTTCATGCTGCTGCTCTTCCATCTGCTAAAATTAGCACACTGGACTTGTTTGGAAAGGGGGTGGAAAAGCCAAGAGGATTTATTGGGCAGGAGGAACTGGGAGAGATGTGTGGTTGTCTGCGCCTGGAGAAATAAAGTCCAGGAAACAATGTACTCCCTTGTCCTTGCCTTGTGAAAAACAAGGTTGGTTAAGTGTTACTGATGGATCTGGAACACCCCAGATTTTTTTAGTAACTTTTACTTTTGACAGGTTTTAATAAATTCTGTATTTGTAATAGAAGTCCTGTAGTTCCACACATTATTGTACACTACAAAGCCAGAACTCACATAGGTTTGCATTTATGGTGATTAGGAAACTAAACCTCTTTACATCAGTTCCTGATACCTGAGTTAGATTTGTGCTCTGTGGAGCTTCTCACACCCAGCAGCTCATGAGGATTGCAGCTGGGGCCAGGGAGCTCTGTCATACTCCAAAAATCTTCCCAGTGTTTTCACCACTACAGCAAAACACTACACAGCACCTCTGGGAGTTAATGCCCACCTGGGCATAAAGACAGTGGGACTAAAAGCTTCCACTGCCAGAAGCTGGACTTGGGAGTGCTGCCTGCTGTGCCACAGCATTGCTGTGGATGAGTTCTGGGCTGTTCAGGAAGGATTACAACAGTAATGTTAAGTCGGCTGCCTTTAGGAGAAAAATCAAATAGGTAACATTACAACCTCCCCAGAAAGGAGTAACTTCACTCTGCTACAGCATCTAAAGCAGGGTGAAGGACAGCTGGAACACCACCATGCACATTTCTGGAGTCAGCACATGCCAAGCCATATGCAAAATGTTTCTGTACTTAAGTGTTTCCCAGCCAAACACTACTGACTTATTACATAACTTTAAAAAAAAATTTCTCCCCTTCTGTCCCATCAGCTGAGATACTTGTGCACACTTCAGTTACAACTTTTAACTGGGTGTGTTGTCCTGGAGGGAATGTTGTTGCAGAGTCCAACACTGAAGTGCTGTGACAAAGTGCACACACAGGTCTGCCTGGGAGAGCTTGGCTGTAGCTCTGTAAGGCAGAGCAGCTGGTTTAGAACTCTTGCTTTTGTCATTCCGACAAAATCACACAAGACAATTTTTTCATTAAGTACAACTTCAACGCTGCCCATTGCTCTGACTTCTTACACCTCCTTGCTACCCAGATGCTCTTCCACACCTGCTTTGTGGTTCCTTGCTCTGGCTCGTGTACCTGAAGGATGGGGGGTGCTATACTTTAACTGACCAAAAACTACATCTGCATTAATGCCTATATATGTTAGTCAGGTTATGCAATTCTCCAAGGTAAGGAGTCTGGTTTTAGACTTCTTAACTGGTCTTTTGACACCACTGCCTTAACAAAAGGAAGATCAGCATGTTAGAAACTCTTATGGAAAAGAGTTCGAGGTTCAAGCTGCCTCACAAGTAGGTTTCCATTGTTAGTTTACAGCTTGAAAACCTTAAAGTCAAAAGTAATTTAAATTTCTGATAGAAACAGTCAACAGATGGAAGATCAAAGTTTATTTTCTTTTACTACCAGCATACAAAAAAAACATATTGCACATCAAACAACCAAAAACAAAAATAAAAATACTCTACTAAGGACTAACATATGTAGTTTATACAGAATAAACTTTCTGGAAATTGATCTTTTCAGTAGTTCAGGTTATGTCTTAATGGACATGACTAATTCAGCTTAGTGTTAACTAAAGCTATGTTTGATTTTTAAATACTGTACAGTTTAATAAATAAACCAAACAAAGCCTCAATGTAGAACAGTCACTGCCAATGTCACCCAGTATCCCTGCAGATTATGAGAATTTAACAAATGCATTCCAGTGGTCTGCAGATTTTTCCTCTACATACAGCATTTAAAAAACATGTATTAAAACAGACCAGTTTCCAGACTAAACTAATGGAGAAATTACATTTCAGTGCAAAATATTTTAGACTGCATTTCTTTCTAGTATTCCTCAGGTGAAGAAGTGGTTGCATATTATTAAAAATGTAACAAAAGCAGCTAATGCTTTCATAAAGAGTATTATGTTAGGGATCCCCCTCACATCTTTGCCGTATTTTGAAAACAAAATAACATTTCCTATAGCCAGCAATTTTCTTTATTTAAATGTTACATATACTATCTCAAGGCACATCTGATGATATATTTATAACACAGTAGGTGTCAAAGTATGTTTAACATATGATTTCTCCAGGATCCCTCCCCTTTCTGTATTCCAAAATGGAGGAACTGAAAGTGCGGTGTCAAGACTGGCGATCCATATTCTATCTTTGGCAAGCTTATACAAGCACTATTTTAAATGTAATGTAGAAGAACTGTAAACTAGGAACTTCAGTTTATGAAACACCATTCAGCACTGCTTCTTCCTGATTATTTCCATCCTCCTGAACAGTGACTTTCTTTTCATCAGGGCTGTGCTGTAGTTTAGAAGGCTCATCCCCAGAGGTGGTGGCAGGACCATTCACTGCCTTTTCAGAAGGGCTGTTTTCGTCAATCGCATCTTTTGCCTTGCAAAAACAAGCAGAGGGGAGCATTAAAAATTTCATAACAATACAGTGGAATCTCAGTTTCACTCTGGCTCACACAAGAGGGAACACCTCTTGCGTGTCCATGCCTGTATCCTGTCACTTAAAGCATCTGATCACTTACCTTGTGGTTTATGGGATACTTCTGTATCAGCCGTTTTGAGGAAATCGTGCCAATGTAACCCCCAGGTCTACACACCCCCAGCACACCCAAAATGCTTATTTATTTCTATTTGTATAAGCCCATGAAGGAGTTTACTGAAAACCACAGCTTTATACCCCTTTTGAAGACTATAGCAAGATGACATTTTGCTAATGAATCTTTCTTACATAACTTGTAGCAATACATCGGCACTTTAGAAGTAAAGAAATTCTGCTTTGTTCAGTTCTGATTATTTTTCAGGATAATGTAATGCCACTCTGATCCCTTAAGGAAAAAGGTTCAAAACCATACAATCTTTGCAAAATTAATTACTTCTAAAATAGTTTATACAAGTCACTAAAAATGCCACATAAAATCCTCTATCCCTAAGTGTTTTAAGGATTAGTTCTCAAGACTTACCATGGGCAATTTGCACATTTTATTACACAGTGCAACATTACTAAGTATAATACTTTAAAATGTGTACAGACTTAATTTGGTCCCTAAAATCTGCAACAACAGTCAACAAATCATCGTCAGTTCTGTTTACTCTGGGCCCTTTTGCTTTTAATAACTTTTTCTTGAAATCAAATGCACTTGTAGTCAAATAAGGGTGAGCTAACTGAAGCCTTCACGCCTTTACTGTTCTGCTGCAAGGGAGGAGAAAAAAGAAAATGCGCATTAAAAAAATCTTACCGTTTCTTTCTTGGTTTTGGCTACTGTCTCCTTTGGAGGGTTTCTCTGTCTACTTTGAGATTCAGCTCGTGATATATAATCAGCTACTGTTACTGTTCAAGGAAAAAAATCACAGTGATGCTCACATCAGCAGTCAATTCAGCATGAACCTTCATGTCTTTTCTGCACAAGTTATGCTCTAACTGGGAGGCATCTCACAAAAGGCCTTCACACTTACAGGTTATCAACCACACAGTAACGATCATTTTGTTTCTGTTGTTAAAAACAACTTTCAGTAAAATCAGTCGTAACAATGATCTGAAGTTGGACTCTTAATAAAATCAATTTTGGTCCAATTGCAGAATTTGTTGGAGAAGGGCTTTCTGTACTATGTTTGAAGAGATTTGGCTGCAGCTCTTTGAACTACAGACTGTGTGTGTGTCACTGGGGTTTTATTAGCTGAGCAGTGAAGAAATTCGCACTAATGAAATGAAGACACTGAAACAGTGCCCAGAACTAGGACAGGTCAGAACCTGGAATCACTTAGGGTGATGTCACAAAGTGACTGAGGAGGGAACTTGCCCTCCCTGAGGTACTGAGAGTGCCACCAGCACTGTGCCATCAGCTCTGTCCCCTGGCTCGGGTGTGGCTGCTGTGGGATGTGTGGACACAGGCGGTGCTGCTGGAGCCAGCCCAGCCCAAGGGCAGCACAGCTGCACTCACTGAGGACAGCCAGGGCTTCTCTGACCTCTCCTTATCACCTCAGCACATGTTCTGTGGCCTGGTTTTGTCCGATCCTGCCCTCCTGTAACCACACCAAGACTCAGTTCTATCCTTAGAATACAGAGTACTGCAACTTTAGAAACACATTTGTATCACTGATAAGCACAGCACAATAGGGTTGGCAAGCATTACCTACTGAACTGTATAGTCATCTGTATTTAGTGTATCAGGTATTTAGGTGAGCTGTTTTTCTGGATTTAGGAATGACTGTGCATGAAATCCAAATCAGACTGGGAACTACAAAAAATGAATTTTTTTCTACAGTAAACGGACTTCTTACAACTGAGTCCTTCCCAAACTGTGAAGGCCAAAGGAGTTTCTACACTAAAGAAAAAGTACTATTTCTTTAAAATGAGGTTTTGAACCCAACTTCTCTAATATTAGTAAACAGGAAGCATGTTGCATGCACACAGTGCATTCTTAATATTCCTCTATGAATAAGGCACCATAACATACAGCAGTGTAAATCAAATGATACAGCTAAATGACTGAAATATAGTAGTTGGCATTGAGGTGGGGAGGGGAAGAAAGGAAGAGTTCCTTCTGTCTTAATTT